AAGTCGAGCTTCTTACCCTCCTTGGGCATGTGCGTGCCGCTCGCAATGCAGAGCACCCGCATGCGAGGGTCATATCGAAGACCAGTAAGGAGCTTAGGCGTAATGAGGAAATACTGAGACGTATGCTCACGGCAGGCAATCTCCACCATACGCTCATGCACCATGCGCTCATTACGAGGATCCATACCCTGATTGATCTCATCAACCACACGGAAGGGCGACTGCGCCATAGACTGCAGAGCCATCAGGTAAAAGATGGTCGACACAGCACGCTCACCGCCGGACTGGCGGTGCTGGTTGAGCTGTTGGAGAGTCTCGTTTTCTCTGTGTTATTGTCAGCAACTGCTACTTTGTGACCGACGAAGATATTAAGGCTCCTCATTGGGGGAAAACAAGCATACCTGAACTTGACCATGATATCCAGAGCCCACTGGTCAAAGTCTTCGTCCTTGTGGACTCGGATCTCGCCAGCGCAGTTGATCTGCTCAAAATTGTAACTAAAGGCGTCGTTGATCTTGCTGATGAGTTCGTCAAGTTGAGGCTCCCACTTCTCACGAATCTTTGTGATCTGGCGGTTGAGATGATCGAGTTTAGCTGTGGTGGATTCCATCTTTGAGCGCAACTTCTCGATCTCCCGGGCTCGTATCTCGAATTCGCGTAGTGCTCCTGGATTGGCGACATGGATTTGCTCGATTGTATGTTGCTCGGCCGCAATCTCGTTCTCGACGTCTTCGACGCTCTTGTCCTTGGCCAGGGATTCAAGAAGGTCCTTCCTGGTCTCATCCTGAGCAAAAATCTCAATGACTTTGCCCTGAGCGTCTTCAGCTCGCTGCCTGGTACGCTGGGAGTCCTGGGTCAAGGCGGCGATGTTGCGCTTCTCGTCCTCCAACATCTGTACAAGCTCGTTGTTTCTAGCTTTGAGACCCTGTACGTCAGATTTGGCTTCGATTTCGCGGATCTGAGCCTCGAGCAGTGCCTCCTGTGCTGCGCGAACCCCCGCAATAGCCGCGTGGTGCTGCAAGGTGGCCTTGGCCTTGCTCAACGCGGCTTTATCGATCTGGAAGCCCAACTGTTGGTTAGCCGATTTGGCTTCCTCGACCTCCGCCTTCTTCTGGTCCAAGGCTCTCTTCTCATTTTCTAGAAGAAGGTCAGCATCTTCGTCAATTAAAATGCGGCAAGCTGCTTACCGAGCTTGACTGGGATCGCTTGGTAAGCGTTGTGGGCTCTCTGGAGCTCATTCTTTCTTTCCTTGAGCATTTTCTGTGACTGAGTTAGTATCAAGGCTTCAACCACTCGAGATGTGACTTACAAGATCGCCATGTATCTCATTCTTTCTATCGTTGAAACCAGCCATCTGGGCTCGCACCTCGGTGTTTTGAGCTTTCAATGCGTCAAACTCTGCCTCAACCTCGCTGATCTTGCGTTTGATTTCGCTCTTTTCCGCTTCATCGACTGGTTGATCTGTCCAGAACATGCCTTGCTGAATGCCCCTGGTCATCGTTGAAACGGCTCCAGGGCCAAGATCCTTGCGTCGAGACACCCTGTAGAGCTGCCGACCTGTCGACCAGTTGTTGATCACCTCCCCTTGAACTATTCGATCATACTGGGCGTCATTGATGTCTTTAAGTGCGATACCTGAAGCATCGATCTTCTTTTCGTTGCAAAGCATCGCGAGCACTGGTTCTGGCCCGGTGATCATGTCTAGTGCGAATGCGTCTAGTCCGAGGGCGTTTGCCTCCTCCCGACTCATCTTAGGCCGGAACTCATGTAACGGCTTGAGGATTGACCGAACATTGACAGAAAGACTCATGACCTTGTACAGGTAATGACTGAGCTTCTTGTGATCTTCGCGAGTCTGCGCCGTGAAGCACAGAAAGTCGTCATTGTGTAGCAGCGCTTGGATTTGGTCCGAATACCGTTCATCCTTGACCGAGCAGCAGAGAGCGGGGGGGCCAAAGACCTCCTTTTCGAACTTGTCGGCATTCTCCTGAAGCCAAGCATAGCCCTTGGCAACATCGGGCCATTTCTTCTGGATGAAGCTGAGCATCTGACCCTGTTGAGAATGAAGACCTTCAAGCTCCCGGTTGAGGGCCTGCTTCATCTGCGTCTTGGCATGCCCTTGCTCCTTGATGTCCCGAAGCTTGCCTTCAGCTTGACGGGATTCAGCCTCGAGCTCTCGGAGTTGATGCTCCTTCTCTCGCTGGGGACCATGTCAGTGGACAATCCCCAAAGTCGGATTGCGAGACTTACGATTTGGGTGTTATGTTCTGTGGCGTTGAATTCCGCAGGCTTATTTTTCTTTTGATTTTCCAAAAGCCCTATTTTGCTTCGAATCTTGCCCAGCTCTTGCTTTTTCGATTCGAATCCCTTCTTATTACTTTCGATATTGCCCTCTATTGTCTTGACCTGTTCATCGACATCCTCAATCCGGCTGAGGGACGCATCGGCCGCAGCCTCTGTGCGTCGTAGAGCTTCTTTCCGACTGCGAACCACAGCCGTCACCTTTTCGTGATACACTTGCTTCTGATTGACAGCTTGCAGGGACGGGGCAGCCTCGTGCTCAAGCTTTCGCAGGTTCTTCTGGGCAAGCTTTTCCTGTTGCCTCTTCTCCTTGTATAGGGCTTTAGACTCAAGATAATCCGCTACCGCTCGGGCATCAGTGAGCTCAACAATCTTCTGCTGAGCCTCCTCTCGCTCGCGAAGTCGATCGACATCATGCTGCATGTAATTCTGTCTGTCCTCGAGTTGCTTTAAATGGTCGCCGGCGGACTCGGTCCCACGCTGAAGCTCCTTCCGGTCCTTGTGAAGATCCTGTAGACTCCTCTGCCAGTCCAGCATCTGCTGCGGTGCTGCAGCGCGCAACGTTTCGTGAAGTAGGTCTATTGGCGTAGCGGAAGCAAATTCAACGACGCGGTCTTGGGGTAGAAACTGGCACAGATTGTCCACCTGAATCTTCAGGTCCCTCATCAACCCTTGAATAGCTTTATGTGGCGAATCCTTGCCGTTCAACCACCATTTCTGGCTATTCCTTTCGCGGTCGATTTGAACCCGAATGACGTGGTGTGATCTATCCTCCGGTCGGCGCTGTAATTCAATCTCAATGACAGCGGTAGGCTTTCCGTGCTTGACAAACTCCTTTACGTTGCCTGCGCGTCCCAAATGTTTCGGGCTGAAGCCAAGACCGAGGCAGATGGCACAGACAAGTGAACTCTTTCCCGTTCCGTTGGGCCCAATCACCATGTTCAGGTTGGGACCAGGGAAAAATTCAGCCAGTTCGTATGTGACAAAGTTTTCGACTTTGACACGTCGAATAGCGCCAGGTGAAAAGCCATCTCCGTCGCCTCCGCTCGATGTGCTCTTTGATCCATTTGTACGAGATCCGTTCGGTAATTCGTGGGCATCGTCGTCCTCGGAGTCGTTGGCGCGTCGGCTCAGGCGGGGGCGCTTGGGGCCTTCAGAGCCATCGGAACGCGGTTCTGAGTCGTCGTCCTCGATGTCGCGTCGTCTGCGACGACTTGAGGGATGGGAGGGCATTTCGGATCGATGTGGTGTAGCTAGGAAGAGAGATGTGGTAATGGGCTTGGTCGAGACGGTAAAAGGTGGTGCCGATTTGAGGGAGGCTACGGATACCTTTCCTCGTTGGCGTTGGTGGACGTCGAGTGCGACGCGAAGTAATCAATTCAGACGCGAAGTAATTAATTTAGACGCGTCCCTTCGTCGTTAAGGTAAGAGCGTCTGATTACATAAGAATTGAGGAATGCGCTTACCTCAGACGCAGACATGCTGCTGCCCGGCGGAAGGTGGTAACAGTGGTGGGGTTGGTGGGGCTGTCAGCTGCCGTGAGCTCCAGAGTCCAGTGTCCCGTCCGGTGCATCTCAGTGGGGCTGAAGTCCGCACGGATTCCAGTGCCGTGGCTGCCAACTTCATCCCTTGACATCAGCCGGTTGTTGATCCGTCGTCCGATGCGGCCAACGTCGTCTATCGCGCCCCGATGACCCACTTCTCAGGAATGTTCGCTGACACCTGATGAAACCCCTTCGTCAGTTTTCTTCGCAAGGTGTGGTGACACCTGTCGAGGATGCTTCGTAAGTGAGGTAAGGTATTGGTTGTGACTCCCCTCATTTATAGAACTGTCCACAATGTGATTGTAAGTACACCAGAAGAAAGAAGTCGCCGTCACGTCTAAAAGAAAGACCTAGACCCTGAATAAGTCTTCACTCAGAGACAAAGTGCGCTCTAAGTTCATTTGGCAGGGACCAACTCTTGTAAGAGAGATAGCCACGATAATCCACGATGATGGAAATGACCAGAAACCACAATGACGTCCGAGGGAGGCAAGTGTAGTGGGTGACAGACTCAGAATAGAGCGCCAACAGCGCCTCGAGTTTGGCTGTTTCGTTCCTTCCCCAACGTCAGGTGAGATGTCTGGTGGCCGAATTCTAGAGCTCCGCCTCCATTCCAGTTGCCCTTGGCTACTTCGAAGCGTGAACCCCGGTGAGACCTTGCCGTTGCCGTATTCGTCCTTTCAACGGGCCTCGAGGTCGCTCCTTGGAAGGGGGCAACGTCTGTCTGCTGTCTCCCTTCGAACCTTCTATTTTCTGCCGATTGCCTCACCTGCCCCAGCACCCTGGCTCCCACTTGCATTCCCTTCTCCCACCACAACACCTTTGCCTTGACTCTGCGCGTCTTGGGCTTTTTTCCCCGTCACCACTCGGAAATTCGCGCTGTCCTTCTTTTCTCCCACCTCCAAACACCATCACACACCACTCTCTCGGTATCGTCTGGCTTTTTTGGCAATCAGTCTATCAAAAAATCCATCCATTCGTTCAGATCCTGGCCTTCATCACCTTCTCTTCTTCCTCACTCACTTAGTCCAGCCAGGATCCTTATCTCCTTTCCCAAACATCTCCCATTTCAACTCCTTACAGACGGTAGACATCACCACTTGCCGCACTCGAAACTGACCATGTTCTGACCGCAATCCCGGAACTACCGCTGTAATGTCCGAGACTGGTCGGACGAGGGCCTCGGCCTCTCAAGCCCGGGCTCCTCTCGCGGATGCGACCGAACGCATCAATAACGCTTCATCCAAAATTCCCGTCAAATCATCAAAGTCACGCGACAAAAACACCGATCGCCAACGCCATACCAACGACTATGACCCGCCGGTCACTGGAGCGAAAGCCACAGCTACTTCGGCTGGTCCTCCTAGCGCTCGCAACCCTGCCGTTGCAAGAGCGCGAGCATCCCATGACGTCGACCCGTCGAAGCGCATGTCCCAGGCATCTCAGGCCTCCACGACCACATCGAGCAAGAGAAGCAGCGGTTATGCTTACAAGACACACATTGGTCCCTGGTTGTTGGGCAGAACTCTCGGAAAGGGTTCCTCGGCTCGCGTGAGACTCTGCAAGCACCGCCTGTCTGGTGAATTGGCCGCCGTCAAAATTGTGCCCAAGAAGACAGCCTACCTGATCCAAGCTGGTAGTCTTGCTGAACTTCACGACTACGACGACAGTTTACCCGAGAAGATCAATGGCGAGATGCGTGTGCCTCTTTCAATCGAGCGAGAAGTGGCCATCTTGAAGCTGGTCGATCACCCCAACGTTATGAAGGTGTATGATATTTGGGAGAATCGATCAGAGATGTTGGTTGCCGCTATCGCATTGAGACAAGTCCCAAGCTAATTTTCTAACAGTTATCTGGTGCTTGAGTATGTTGAACAAGGCGACTTATTCGACTACATCAACACCAACGGTCGGTTCACTGAGGAGGGCGCTATGTTCCTATTTCGGCAAATGATGAGCGCTCTTCAATATTGCCATTCCTTCAACATCTGCCACCGAGACCTCAAGCCCGAAAATATCCTGTTGACCCCCGACAACAAGGTCAAAATTGCCGACTTTGGTATGGCCGCCTTGCACCAATCTTCGGAGCATCGACTTGTTACGGCTTGCGGCAGTCCTCACTACGCTGCCCCTGAGCTGTTGAAGCACAAGCACTATCGAGGAGATAAAGCCGACATCTGGTCCCTGGGTGTCATTCTCTATGCCCTTCTAGCTGCATGCCTGCCCTTCGATGACCCGGACATCGGTGCACTGCTTCAGAAAACCAAGAGAGGCATATACGAGATCCCAGACTTTCTGAGCCCTGAAGCCAAGGATCTTATCCGCCGTATGCTTGTGGCCAACCCTGACACAAGAATCAGCATCAAGGAGATGTGGCAGCATCCATTGATTCGGAAGTACGACTACCTCGATGACCTTGGCAGCAATTGCCAGCTCAACGACCTCCGCAAGGGCTTTCACTACACCCCGTTGAAGCCCCATGAAGTTGACCCTCATCTAGTTAGGCAACTTAGGTCATTGTGGCACATGCTCACCGAACATCAGATCAAGTTGAAGCTCATGGACTCTGCGTATGTGTAATTTATGACCAGCTTCTTTTGGAAAGATACTAACTTAACCCAGGAAAAACGACCAGAAGCTATTCTACTGGCTTCTTCACAGCTACCGCCAGAAACAGCTAGAAAATTTTCTCCCAGAGTTGTCTCAGTCTCCCAGTGACTACCATCACCTCCATGAGCCTGTTTGGAAGAAGAGGGTATCAACCGTCGAATTCAACCAGCCCAGAGCAGACGGAACAGGCAGAAGCGTCTCGCGTTTCACAGTCATCTCTCATGTTGCGGAGACAGATGATGGAACGATCCAGAGCTACGATCCCTATAACTCAAGCCGACCTATGCGAGGGCATTCTCAGGCCAGTCATGCAAAGATTGTTGTTCATCGTAATCGTCGCGGCTCCATGAAGCGGGATAGTACGCAGACATCACAGTTGTCACGCATCAAGACAGCCTCGACACTGCGTCATTCCCGCGTCAACTCTCAGCGAACAGCAAACTCTGGCCGCTTCCAGTCCCCTCGCAGCTCGATGAATTCGCTCCATAGCAGCAGACAAGGAACTTCTTATAGCCGACCGGCTTCCCGCCACAAGCGAGGCATCGACTTTTCTCACATAAGAAAGAAGTCTACCGATGCTCATGCCGACAAGCGTCGCCGAGGTGTCCCGAACGCTATTGGAGAGGAGGCCTACTTGGAGAGACCCCAATCCCCGACAAGTCCACCAAAGCGCATTTCCATGATGGACAGACCTAGACCAAAGCTGAAAATTGTGAAGCCTCGGGATCCGGCGGTCATGGTCAACGAGGAAGTTCGGCACTTCAGCAACAGCATCGCAAAGGACTGTGATGAAGCCTTCAACAGCTTCATATCTGCCGATGAGACAACAGAGCTGGTTTTAGAAGACAAGAGTGGTATCAAGAGAGAGTCTACGGGCCTGTCTTTGGGACCAGTGACATCCTCTCCCGAGACTTTGACCAATCCTTACCATCCATGGGATACTCGACCCTTGCCGCCTTTGCCGCCTCCCAAATCGACGCCATCTTCAAGTCCGGAAGCTGAGAGGCCCAGCAAGAATTACGACCATCCCAAGGATGCGCAGCATTCTGGCCGTGTCGGAAAGTTTGTCGATCAAGTCAATCGTCTGGGCTTTCCTACTTTACTTCCTAAGCAAGACCGCCGTACTGTATCCGCGCCTACACATAGTCAAAACAAGATGACTGGTCGCTTGCCGGCAATCAACGAGAATGGACGAGATTCAGAGTCGTCATCCCACTGGGGGGATGCTGATCGGAACAGGGTGGTATCTGCCCCGCCAAAGACCCCCGGCGGTTACGCTGACAACGACGGTCTTGATTATCTGGTCCAAGCAGGAGAGACTATTCGTGTTGTCAACTCGCCAAGTGCAACGAGCCCGATCCCGAAGCCTCTGAACGTGCGAAAGAAGACTGCTGAGCGGCCGGCTTACGAGGACCAGGTCGAGGAGCGCTACGTCTATATGCATGGTGCATCGGGTACGGATGAACCTTCGACTCCATCTGCTGCTACTTATGGAAGTGGCACAACGAAGCAGAAGAAGTCCTCATGGTTCAAGCGGTACTCAAAGGATAGCACCTCTAGAGAGGGTAGCATCAATACCGAGGCAACCCAGGAAACCCAGGCTTACAGCATGACAACCCAGTCTACAGCCCCGAGCCGCTCGGAGACAAAGATTCATGAGCATCCTCCCCCAGTTGCAACCAAGAAGAAGGGCTTCGGTCTGCTTTTCTGGAAGAGCAGCAAGGCTAAGTCAGAGGGAAAGATGGCGATCGCTGGTGAGCCATGGACTACGAAGATTGAACTCATTGAGCATGCAACACTAACAGATGATCTAGGTCCGGATTACGATGACTCTCCCTCCCCCGACGACCGAAGAGTTACTGGGCACGAAACGAGCCGGAAATCAGTTAAGAGCTGGAACGACTCTGAAAAGGGAGCTCGTACAATCGCGGTTCATCAAAACTGGCTGGCTCGCCTCTTCGGTGTCAAGCCCGCGACGAGCTACGTTTGCCTAGTCATGTCGCGGAAGCGAGCTCGGCAAGAAATGGTGATCCTCCTCAAAGACTGGCGACGTTATGGTATGAGAGATATCCAGGTCGAGAAGGAGAGAAACATTGTGTTTGCCCGAGTTGGGGCACAGAATTGTGAGTTGTTTTGCATTGCTCCATAGCAAAACCCTGTCTTCTTCCCCTCTGCTAACGTTTGGCACAGACTTAGGCATGAAGGAAGTTGCATTTGCTGCGGAGATTATGACAGTGATCGAGCACAGGAAGAAGGGTCCCCTCTGCATTGTACGATTTACGCAAGAGCGCGGGGCGGCCAGCAGTTTCCACAAGGTTGTGGACACGGTCCGTACGGTGTTCGGATCGCGAGGGCTGGTTGTCGCCGACAAGTCCAAGGAGAAGATGATGATCAAAACGCTCAATTCCTGAGGATGGACGAGATTGCATTTGGCGTCAGAAGGTGGACGGCGACATTCGTTTTTGGGGCACCGGCTCGGGAGGTTGCTTGACTGAGGATCGACGGGTTCCCAACGGTTCTGCTTTTCTTTTCTCACTTTTTCTTGCCAGTCACATACCTGGGATCAAGCATAGGCTGGGCATTTTCATTTCGGAGGATAAGACTTGATTCAATGCGAGCATGGCCTACAGCTCGACATCACGAGCCTTGGAGAGCACTGAAGGAACTGGAGGAACTGGAGGATGGATAATGAATGTGGTTGGATGGCTTTCCCAGCATTATAGCTGTGGTCTATATCCATATCACGACGGATTGGTGGCTTGGAGATTCCGTCTGATGATCGAGATCATTCTTCAACCATCAACAGTTTCTTTGTATGGCTGAAAAGGGAGGAGGCTATTGTTCATAGAGTCGAGCTGCATAGGTACCAAAAAAGTTGATTGCTATTAGAGAAGAGGGCTGCCATGTTGTCAGTATTTTGCTTGGTGCTTGTAATTCTTGGTGTAATTGGAAAGGTGACGGCAAGGGCCGGAAAGTGTCGGCATCCACAAGGACGCTGATTGGAGTTCGCGGAGCTGGGGTAGCACCGGAAGCAGACCTCGGCAGCTCGGTGAATCGGATCTAGATGTGAGCTTGAGCCACGGGTAAGGATCCCTGTGTCCCGCGTCATGAGAGCTCGGCAAGTGGAGAAAGCATTGGTTCTCTAAGTGTGCCAAGGTAGACTCGAGTGCCGATTTGGTGATATGAAGGTTGCTGTCGTTGGTCACCCAACAATGCTTCCATTCAAGATCACGAGGAGGAGTTGATGCGCAGTAAGCTCACCTTTTCGAATAAGAAATGCATCCGTATGTGGACCTGCGGCAGACCCTTATTCTTTTTTACCTTGCCCCAGAGACGAGCTTCAATTGCGGGCCTCGCCTCCGTCGAGCATGGCTTTCGCCGGCGGCGACAGTGTATTTTTTTCTTATCGCGGCCGGATCCGACTTCGGCCTGGGGAACTGGGGTTCTTGGGTGGGTATGTTGGGACACGGGGGTTGAGAAAGCACGCAAGGCCATGACTTGGGGAGAAAGAATTTGCACATAATTGCTCGATAGCATCGAGTAAGAGATTCAATTGAGTGAGACGGTTGAAGAAGTTTTGTTAAAGATGGCGGGGATGGGCGCTTTAGAACTGGTGACCACTCGGTGTGTTGCTGTCGATTTTCTCTGCAAGTCTTATCGCAATCTGACCCCACCATGCAATGCTCATGTCACTTTCAAACCAATAAGATTTGCCAGAGGCATTGCCATGAGGTCACTGGGAAGCAAGGCTCCTTGATGGAAAGCAGGTGTGGTGTTGCATGGATCACTGCTCCTTTGAATTAGAACCCGAGCTCAACAGGCAATTAAATGTATGGAAGGCAAGGGCCATAGGCGGTACTTGCCATGGAGCAAACTGGACGAGCACATGCAAAGTCACTGTCCTGGCTGTAGTGTACTCCGTAGACTTGGAGGTTTCCCGTCGGCTTCTTTTGGTGGTCTGGTTTCACTCTTCCCCACACTTTCACAAGCGTCTGGCGTCCCGTCTGTCCCTTTGACGAACCTCCCTTTGTAACCCGATCTCCAACATCAACCACAACGCATGGACGTCTCTTTCGAGCCTTTCCCCTCTCCTCTTCTCCCCGCGGTCCGGCTCTGAAGCTCTCCTTCCACCCGAATCAGCCCGATCACTGCCGACTCGAGTAGGTATGGTTGTAACTCATTAGCTGCTTCTGGGCCCCTGACTAAACGTTGATGATACTGACCCGGTACACAAGATAGCAAGGCGTATGGACCTTTCCCTTCGGCTACAATTCCGCCAATTTGGGTGTACCTCGGGTGGATCCCGACAGGTTCCCTTGGTCCCTCTTTTTGCCTCTTCCTCTCCTGGTCTGCTCGAAGTAGGTATGCGCATGCATCATTCCTACCCTGGTCATGGATGGGCGCCGGCCAACCCCTCGCTCGACTCGCCTGTGCCGAGCTTGCGACGGCACTCGCCCAGGTCCAACGCGCCGTCGGGAGCTGTATTCTTTAACAATTCCATGGTGCCTTACATTCTTCGTCTTTTTACCAGCAAGCCTACTTCTCCCGTCTATTTCTTCCAGAACATCCAATCTTCTGCTTCCTTTACACCTCTCCCATCCCAATCCAATTGCTCTTGTTCTCCTTGAAAACTAAAGATACCCCGCGTACTACGCTTACCATAACCGTCATCCTGTCTCAAGACGAAGCTTGTGCGCATTCCTCTAACACGTGAAACCCTTCCTGCGACAACCAACCTGTGTAGTCGCCGACCGGAAGATCCTACTATCAGTTGCGTATTACCGAACAGCAAACACCATCACCAAGTGTAGACATACACATATTCACACATACACAATGGCTACCACCGATGCAATCCTTCAAGGCGTCAACGTCCTAGGCAACGTCACGGATGCCCAGCGCAAGATCCTCACCCCCGACGCCCTCGCCTTCCTCGCCCTGCTGCATCGCTCTTTCAATGCCACTCGCAAGTCACTGCTCGAGCGCCGCAAGCTCCGCCAGACCGAGCTTGACCGCGGCGTCTTGCCCGACTTCCTCCCCGAGACGAAGCACATCAGAGAGAACTCCACATGGAAGGGTGCCCCGCCGGCCCCTGGCCTGGTTGACCGTAGAGTCGAGATCACCGGCCCGACTGATCGCAAGATGGTCGTGAATGCTCTGAACTCGAATGTCTGGACTTACATGGCTGATTTCGAGGGTGAGTCTGCGCCACATCGGAAAAAATACTCAACCGCAATGGAAAACCGTACTGACAATCCTATCTTGCAGATTCGAGCGCGCCAACCTGGGAGAACATGGTCAACGGCCAAGTGAACCTGTACGACGCCAACCGCCGCAAGGTCGACTTCAAGCAGGGTTCCAAGGAATACAAGCTCCGCACCGACCGTAGTACTCTGCCCACTCTGATTGTCCGACCTCGTGGCTGGCACTTGGAGGAGAAGCATGTTACCGTTGACGGCGAGCCCATCTCTGGTTCTCTCTTCGACTTCGGCCTCTACTTCTACCACAATGCCCGCCAGACTATCGATATCGGCATTGGCCCGTACTTCTACCTCCCCAAGATGGAGTCTCACCTCGAGGCCCGCTTGTGGAACGACGCGTTCAACCTGGCCCAGGACTACGTCGGTGTCCCCCGCGGAACCATTCGCGGAACCGTCCTGATCGAGACTATTCTGGCTGCGTTTGAAATGGACGAGATCATCTACGAGCTGAGAGACCACAGCTCTGGCCTCAACTGCGGTCGCTGGGACTACATCTTCAGTACCATCAAGAAGTTCAGGAACAACTCCAACTTCGTCCTGCCCGACCGCAGCGCCGTCACCATGACGAGCCCCTTCATGGACGCCTACGTGAGTAACCTCGCCCCCCTCCCCCCCCCCGCGCGTGCATCGATGAGAGACTAACCCTTGCCGCCAGGTCAAACTCCTCATCCAGACGTGCCACAAGAGAGGCGTTCACGCCATGGGCGGCATGGCTGCCCAGATCCCCATCAAGGACGACAAGGCCGCCAACGACAAGGCGATGGAAGGCGTCCGCGCCGACAAGCTGCGTGAAGTCCGCGCTGGTCACGACGGGTGAGTCTGCTGCCGTTCTGTCCTGTGCCATTGAGTTAGCCACTAACATGATATCAAAGCACCTGGGTTGCTCACCCTGCTCTAGCGGCCATTGCCTCTGAAATCTTCAACAAGAACATGCCCACGCCCAACCAGCTCTTTGTCCGTCGTGAGGATGTCAAGATTGGCCAGAACGACCTGTTGAACATGAACGTGCCAGGCAAGATCACCGAGGAGGGCATCAAGAAGAACCTCAACATTGGCCTCGGCTACATGGAGGCCTGGATCCGTGGCGTTGGCTGCGTTCCCATCAACTTCCTCATGTAAGTTCGCGTGCCACTGACCCCTCTCATCATTCACATAAAATCAGAGAAAACTCACACGTCGCGTGTAGGGAGGATGCTGCCACCGCCGAGGTCTCTCGCTCTCAGCTCTGGCAATGGGTGAAGCACGGCGTGTCCACTGCCGAGGGCAAGAAGGTCGACAAGGCCTACGCCCTAAAGCTCCTCAAGGAGGCCGCCGACGAGCTGGCCAGCAAGGCGCCCAAGGGTAACAAGTACCACCTCGCCGCGCAGTACTTTGCCGGCCAGGTCACCGGTGAAGACTATGCTGATTTCCTGACCACGTAAGTTTACTACCATTGCCACCACCACCACCACCACATCTCGCTCCTCGTCGGGGCTTTACCTTTGCGCCCCGTGGCTGTTTCCGCTCGGTGATTGTTTTTTTAAGAGTAAAGGTACTAACTTGACCAATAGTCTGCTGTACGATGAGATTACCGCCGTCGGCAGCGCACGCCCCGCTTCCAAGTTGTAGGTCGGGGAAGCTAGTCGATAGCTCGCTTCCGAAGCGAAGGAGGTCACGCGCAATGTCATGCGTAATGGATCTTGTGTTTGATGCCTCTGACGGGATGTATATCAGGGACATTTGAAGTGCTGTTTCACCGAACGGGTTGGGTCTCGGTGCAAAGGCATGATTTGGGTCGAAAAATTTGCCGGCTGGGATTTGGAAACCTGCCTTCATGTATTGGGTCTACGAATGTAAGAATGAATGAGATTGAAAATTGATTCTTCTTTTATGAGTTACACACCCCCTCGATGCCACCACTACCTCCACCTTATCGTGACTTTCGGTTGATTTCGCACAGGAGGTCTCGGAGTTCTCCAGAGTCTACACGTCAACGATGGCGATAAGGCGAAATGGTGGGCTTGGGTACTGGATGACAAGCACCATTCGGTGTGCCTGAACCCGGACCTAGATCCGTGGCTTGACATACTCGCGATGAACCGGGTTCGAGGCAAATCAAAGGCCGCAACCGAGATGTTGATGTTCGAAATATTATTGGTCCCAAGATTGTGCTTGTGAATCACTTGGCTCACAGTCTCTGTGTTCCGTGTTTGAACGCAGTCCCCGATTCAGCGAGACAAGACTTCGAATCTGGAGTCTTGTCGTAGGATACAGTCGACTTTACGGAGAATGCTACCCGCATCAAGGGCCTCCGTCGTTGTTTTTCGCGACAGGAGTCTGTCCAGGAAACCCACAGCTTGAATTTTTCTTCTTTTGCCTTACCCCTCCCAGGCCGTTGCCCGTCATATATGAAAACATGGACTTGCCGATGGATCGACAAATCTGGAGAACTGCTGGGCTGTGCGTTGTAAGGGGCGTGGGAGGTCTAAGCTGTGTCTAGATGGTCCACTTGCCGAGGGTTAGGGAAGAAAGAAGAAACGCGGGAGGCTTTTGATCTTGATGGTCGGGGCGGAGGCGGACCCTTCATGCAGGTTCATTGGAGATTCCAGTTCGCTTCGTGGGTCGAGGGGTGAGGGAAAGCCATCTCGTCGGTGTCAATGACGTCTTACACATTGCAGTTGTTGTACTTGTGGTTGAAGTCGATGCGCTGGTGAGTTTGGAACCCCCACCTAAGGCAGATGTGGGATGTTTGACATTTCAACGGACACGGAGAAAGTGTGATGGAATAAGAAACGTGTGAAGCGGCGCGGCTGGCCGTCGATGTTTGACATCTCTTGAGGAGTCCTCTAGGGGCGGGCCGCGATGGTGCGGCGCGGTAAAGGGTGGAGGGATGGGAGTGGGAGAGGGAGGTATGGCCTTCTTGCTGGTTGGCTTGATCGCGAGCATGGCATAGTACGCCCCTCTGAAGCCCCTCTGAAGCAGAAGGTGAATAATTTGCTTGCCTCCGGAGTCCGGTGTCGTCTATCATATCGACATGTCATGACTGGGTGTTTCAGCGGCATCTAGATGGTCGGGCAGATGTACTGCTCACATGTGGATGCCGCGGTGTTGTTGGGGTGGAGCGGGCCGTCTTTGATGAGTGCATAAACTCAAAGACAACCTCGTCCTATCGCATCGTCGTCCAGGGAAGGAAGAGGGAGACGAATGTCGACCATATTGGGAAGGGTTCGTCTTTGTCGCCACCAACAGAGGGCATCAGTACCAGGTCCCGGAGGGACGGTTTGGCCGGTAGAGCAGATTCCTTTTCCCAGCTCTCGATTTGAGTCGGCTGACCCATCGCCGCCATCAGAAATGGGAAACAAAGTCTGGATCTCGGGGTGGAGGGAGTCTAGGCCACGTCGGACTGGAAAAGGCGCGCGATACCGGATCGCCGGCGTGAAGAATGGCGGTGATGCGCTTCTTGGTTGGAAGTTGGCTTTCGCATCATGTACCCGAATTTGGGAACATGTTGAGCTGGTTCGTTGGCTAAACAGTTTCTTATGCTTGGATCGGCCACCGAGATTCGGTGTGTCTGGGATTCTCACGAATAATTGTGATCAGTCGTTTTCTTCGTTTGTAAGATGACGAACGAGTAGGCTTACAAAAGTGATGATTCAATGATGGTTGGTCTCCCCTCTGAAACCCGCACCAGACGCTACTTGACGCCTATATGGGATCTGCTGCTGGTTCCAAGGAAGGAGAGTGTGTCTTGGGACCTGATCGTTTGGGCGTCGGTGAGATGTAAAGGTTTCTTTTACCTCGGCAACACCCCTTCCTCTTCTCACTTTGGTCATATATGATGGATTAGGGAAGTCACGAGATGGCATGGCGGGCCGGGAAAGGACGCCGGCGTCGGGCGATATGATGATTAGGAAAGAGTCTCATGTTGACCGATGAAATCCTACTTCCCGGAAAGAAAGTGGAAGGTGTCTCGAGCGTACCTCAATCTCACTTTCTGTCTCTGATCTGAACGCCACGATGTTCGCTAAGCAAGAAGACGACAGAAGGACGTTGGCTGGGGCCCCCACTGAGGTCGACCAATACATACCCACAAGGCAGAGTACGTTCATGAAAAGAAACCCTGCAATGACTGTCTTGATTTGTCTACCGCTCGTATGGGACTTGGGAAGGTATCCACCCCCGCCACGTTGATTAGATTAATGAGAACAGACATCTGGCGAACGGACGAGAGACCCTTGTCGAGCCTCTACCCTGGCCTGTCAGGGCAATTGTCCGACGGGAAGGCCTTGTCTTTCTTACCGAGGGACGTATTTTAAGCCGCAGGTATCATCAGAGGCGTACTTATTCTCAACGTACAAAATAGGTGACGTCGGGAGTAATCGCCGAGACATCATGTATGAATTATCCGTAAATCGGATTGCACCCCCAAAAAGGATGTCCATCTTCGTATAAGTCGATTGTCTTACAGATGGGTTAGTAAGCGGCGTACGTG